CAAGGCATTCAGAGCACAGGGCTGTAACTCGTTTCGATTTGGTTACATTGGAACGCAGGATAAGTGCTTGATTTTTACAGCAGGTTTGAGATTTGTAATATTTGTTCACTTTGTACTCTTGTACATTTATCCCTTTTCTTCCAAAATAATTTAACATCATGTGCCCTTGGTCACTTAAATAAGATGCCATTGTGTTGATTCTGTTTGTCCTGCTTATAGACACGGGTTTTGTGGTAGGACTATGTCCAGCTGCTGTAATCCATTACTAAACTGCCAGAGCACTGTAGCCCAGTGGGGCCTGCTTTTGAGGAGAAAGAAAAGAGGTGATTTGACTGATGATGTAGGCACACCGCGCATCTGTGACTTACCAAGCATCAGCCAAATAGTGTGTACGATTTCTTCATGAAAGTAAACCTTCTCGTCTTAAAAATGAAACCAAGCAACAAAAGTCAGCAGAGTCCAAACTGCCCATTGTTGTCCAGAAACAGATATGTTATCGTGTTAATAGCTGTCTGGCAGCTAGACCCGGCGATGCTGATTTTGTCACTGGAGATAGGCAAGCTGAAGGCTGTGATTCTCATTTGTTGATTGTTACCGGCAGAGGGTGGACACCTGCCAGGAAAGAGGCAGTCATCAGTCTGAGTAGCACAGCAAGATGCTTCTACTGCCAGAACTTCAATAGAGCAACTAAATCTATCCTTCAAGGGCAAATCAAAAAGATCCTAAGTGAACCACGGCACACCGAGGAGGGTGCGCTGAGCTATTAAATGTATTAGGCTGTTTTACTGTGTCGACTGCTGTGAATTATGGGATGTTTTTAAACCGAAATTAACAAGGCCTGATAAGTATTTTATTATTCTCCACGGGTCTGTTAAAATACCGTTTTGTCCTCAATTACTGTGTTTTGCCATACTGCGATAATTCAGGTTCGTACTGTTTTCTGTCGGAAGACGAGTTTTTCCTTCCAAACACAAGTTTTCCTTCTCTTGTTAATTATCAAGGTATTTTCTTCCAGCACTTTGAGGTAACACCTCAACTGGCAGCTTCACTTCTCTCCCTTTAAATAGAAGCCTTATTATGCAGAGTGAAACATAGGACAGGTGTTGAAACACTGCGTGTGACAGTTAACAAGACTCAAACCGAGAGCACCCACAATTATCACTGTCTGCACACTGCATATTCAAACCGAACCTGCTATACGGCGTACGCTATTCTTTACCTGCTCTTTCGCACTTGTTACCAGAACGCTACGTGTTGGCTGCTTCCAGAGTATAATGTGTAAGCACAGCTTTAGTATGTGTAATTGTGCAAACCTCTCCCATTGCGCGTACACAAACAGATCCTTCTGGGTGTGGCAGAGATGTAGCATCCTGAGTTTGTGCAGGAAAATCAGAATGAGTAAAAGAGTAAGTGGAACTACGCAGTCTGCAGTTAATCCATTAAGGTCTGTGACTAGGAGAGGTTTAGGGAGGAGAAGCTGGGCTGAAGAGAGGGCAGGAAGAGTTCATGACAATTAGCCAGCTCTCTGCTTTCAGAATTAGCAGGTTGGAAGCACAGGATGAAAATACTTCTGAGGTGCAGGCCTTACATCTCCAGCTGTACAACAGAGACTGTGTGAGAGTGTGACACGCTCCATGAATAAAATTTTTGTGTATGCCTAGAATCAGCTGTCCTTTTTGTGTGTGTTTATGGATAAGAGCCAGAGCCAATAAGCGAGATGGGGCTTCACATTGCTGACAGTGTGGCTGGCCCTGCTGGGTTATAGCCACAAAAGCTTTTTAACTTTCAAATTGTTGCAAAAGGAAAGAAATATCATTTATCTGCTTAAAAACGATTTAGCGATCAGTCATCATCTAAAAGGCCAAATAATGCATCCAATCAAAACTAGGCACTTTTTGTGCAAAGTATGACAAAATGAAAATGCAATTAAGAAGAGTAGCCCGTTTAGTTATTAGCATTAATTGCTTTTTTAAATTTATCCAGTGCTGCATTGCAGTTTATGTGCGCTAGACATAAACTGTACATAAAGACAGGCCAGATCCACGAGATAATGAGCTGTACTGTAATATACAATCTGGAGAGTATCTCAACATGAATGCCCTTGATAGAGTATCTTAACCACTCCCCCCATCTGTCCACGCACAATATTATAATGCTCAGTGTATGTCCTTAAGTATGGCAGCAACATGGCTCCGTCTTTGATATGCGTCTGTGTACAGAACCTGCACGCACTCCATAACACCGCGCACGGGAAAGAACAGATTGTGTTTATAGCTGGTAGTCACTTTCATTGCCTTTTAAAATCATTGTCCTGTAGCGCAATCTAGCAAAATGACACACAAAGCAAGACAACTGCGAGGGACTATTTTCGCTTTCAAATCATATTCTCATTTAGAGAAAAGGTTATTTGGTTTATATTACAGTGGAGAGAAAAACAACCTCCAAACACTGTCTATTATGAAATAAGAAAATTATCACCCACTTTATTTTACTGCTTCTACACACTGGCAGTTAAAAGTTGACAAAACACATAGACAAAATTTAAAATAAAAAAAATAGGCGTGATTTGTATGCAAGTCACTGCCATAGATTTGACTTTCTACTCCTTACAGTAGGGAATTAAAATGCAACAATAAAAACACAGTTTGGTCAAGAATATTAAAGGCTGTTGGGTGAAGAATGTCTTTTCCTGGGTCCTACCCAAAGCCTTTATTAAACTCAAAGGTCAGTGCAGGAGGATAAAAGATGGATAGAAGACGGAGGGTTTGTTGCCTGTACTATTCAGCTGCAAATTTTGCTTCTCTCTGCTCTGTGGCAGAAAAGATAAAAAGCACATCACAAAGGAAGAGAGACAGAGATGCACTTCTATTTTAATCCATTTTCATTGTGCTTCATTCTACATTACTCTGCCTCTCTTATGTTATGTACCGTGTGATCAGTACAAATCTCCAGACTGCAAGTGCCAGCATATTTTTTTATTCTATCTGAAACAATAGCGAGCTTGTTCAGCCCATCTTTCCCCCTTGTGCACGTGCATGTCTACTGCTCCGACCTAATGGAAGGCGTAGTAAGGTTTCTCATTAGTATGTCAGCCACATGGCTTGGTTAGCTAGCTAGTTGTAGCTAAACAGACAGGTGGACGTTAGGGAAGAAGCAGAGAAACTGGGAAGCTTTAGTTCAGTCCTAACACATTTTTTCCCCCTGTTTTTTTAACAGTGTTTTTTTTTTCCCACTGTGTTCATTTGGGAGCTAATTTGTCAACCTACTTGAGTCTATGGTTGAAAATCCCAATTTAAAATTGTATAAATACACATAGTGTTATTTCAGGTGTCAAGGTAGTTATTGTGTGTATAGTGCGTCCCCTGTGTTTTTACAGTAGATTATATATGTAGAATATGGCCCTTTCATGTGTTGCAGAGGTTGTAATTTAGTTTCAGACACAAAAAACTCACACTCAAGTGATTTTCAGTAGATGGTTAGCTTTAAGACCTGAAAATAATAACCCGTGCTGTTATTCTCAAATGCTTTGACATGTCAAAAAGTAGTGCCAGGTGGTCCAGTGGGACTGTAGGTCCCTTGTTGATTAAACAACTGCTTACCACTATTTTTCGAATAAACGTTGTATTTAATCAGTGGCTACAGACTTGTAACTAACCATTACCATTTTTTAATACTAAACACAATCAATAAAAGCAATTTGCTTTCAAACTTTTCAGATTACATATGTATATTATACTGGAGTCTTGTATCAGGATATATTTTGAGCTGCAAGATGAGGAGATACCTCTCTTAGCTTAATGGATGTCCACTAGTTCCATTAGGTTTGCTGGGCCTCGCATAGCTGAAGGCTAGTTGAAACAAAACAGCAGGAGATTAAGAGTTGACAGCCTCTTATTGCTGCATAGAACACGAGGAAAAACAATATGATAATGTGCTGCGAAACTGATGATGTTTTGATCTCTTTGCAACCCGAGGATATAGCCACTGCGATATCAAATGAGGCTTTATGTTCATCTACAGCATAAGGTGTTTGAATGTGTTATAGAGCGGGAGCCAGAATATGTGTGCATGCGAATATATTATGTGTGCTAATAGGTATAGTAGGGTGTCAAGCAACATGTGTTTCCGTATTTGCACTCTGATTGTACGCATTCGTGTGTATGTGTGTGTTTGTATGTAGCCTGGTTTGAAGCTTCAGCCAAGAATTTCTGCCTGCAAGGTAACTGTGTTAAAGGGAAGCAAGAGCTCCCTCTTCTTGTCTGCCCGAGTTAGAGGCCAGGTGGACAAAATCAACCTGAGGCAGGTTTGGGGCTTGACAAAGACAGTTTAAGCTAGCTGTCCCCACCCATTAATATTCATTATTACTAAACTGTAATGAATATTACCATAATTGTCAGAGTAATTGGCAGTATCAGTAATTATGAATTTGATATGATAGCAGCATTTTGATTAAATATGCTCGCTCTTCAACACAGTAAACCAGGGATGTGTGCCCTGCTGCTTAATGGTTAGATTGTAGTTTGATTGTAGTTTGTAGGGGGTTTTTTTCTAAGAAGAGTAATTTGGAAGTTTTTTTGTTTTTTGGGGGTGGGGGGGTTGATGAGGCTGCAGTAAAATAACTGTAGAAGAACGGCTTCTGAGGAGGAGGGGGAGAGGTGTACACATGGCTTGACGACTGCGGCAATCATGCAAATAACCTTGCAGGCGCGCTCGTACTAACACACTCCTCCGTGCACGTGTTAGAGAGCGTGCAACTCGCGCATAATTATCAACAGTGAAGTAGTGCATATATGCGAACACGAAACCTCCTTAAAAAAGCTTCCCTGGCACCTGTCTTCCCGCGCGATGCTTCAATGCCATCCCGCGTCGTGGACCACAAGAGCCTGCCTCCCAGGCTCTCATCCGCGAGCGCACCGCCCCGTCCTCACCTCCGCAGCCAATGGGAGAAGACGCGCGAGATGACTGGACAATCCGTAAATGGCTTTTGGGGGAAAGGTAGACGGTGTTTGCTCGCCGCGAATCTTTTGCTTTCCTTCCTCTTGACGCGGTGTTTGTTTTAAGGGGAGTGCCTTTTTGTGTTTTTGCGCTGGCCGAGGGCTTCCGGGGGCTTCCACACACACAGGCGCGCGCGCGGTTTTGCCTCTGTTTTGTTTTGGGGATTCCTTTTTTTCCTGTAGACTCACTACACCACGACCCCGGTTCATTTATCCCCTTTAAAAAACAAGCCGCTGCTCCTCTGTCCGACTCTCCTCCCTGACTTCGCCGGCTTTTATAGTACCGAGAACACCGACACCGACAGCCCGTCACAAGAATGGTCATGGTGAGTAGATGTCGTAGTACTCGCTTGTGTCTTTATTGTGCCACATGAGCTTTATTTCACTGTGACCATGTAGCCTATCGCAGCGGTAAGATAAATAAATAAATAATAACAATAACAATAATAAAATGTTGGGACAACATTTCTTTGAGCTTCTTACTTTAAAAAAATTAACAAAATTACAACAGTTACCCCGTTTAAAGACGTTTTTTCTCTTGCATTTCTTTGGGATGCACCTGCTTGGACAGGTGTGTGCAGACTTCCCGCGAGTTCGTGTTCGTGGTTTCGTTCTGTTATATTTGAAGCCGTCGTAGGTTTAAAGGGTCTAAATCGACATTAAAGTAATCGAACATTATTTAAAACGTAAACTTTACTTTTGCGTGTGCGTAAGTGTCTGCGTGTGAAGTAGGGAGGCAGGGAGTGAGGGAGACAGCGATGGCCTGTATGCACACACAGTCGTATAAATGTACGGGGGATTTTAACATGCAACCCAGTAATAGCTAATTTATATACACAGTGCTGCGCAGGCATCCTATTACCATAGCGCCCGAGGCTGTAAGCGCTCTGCTCCGCGCTGCTCACTCAAGCACAGACAGACCTCAGCAGCGATTGATTGCTTTGCTGGGATTCAGAGAGCCTTTTCTCTGCCAAACCGGGCTGCGGCTGGCGTGTGCCGAGGAGGGCTCGGAGCCAGCCAGAGAGCGAAGGTGTTAACACTGATGGAGGGGAGGGGAGACCGAGGGCTGACGGGCAAGCCGAGAAGCCAATCAGAGACTCTAAAAGAAAGTCGGGGGAGTGAGTGGGCGTGGGCGGGCTCTGACCTTCCAGCTGAGCAGGCGAATGGGCAGGTGGTTGTGGGAAGGAGGGGAGGGTTGGTGGGGAGAGGGGGTGGGGGCAAGGAGGGAGGGTGGTAGGAGGGAGAGCCTTACTGCAGCCCAGCACTCACATCCATTCTGCTCTCAGCATCTGTGGAAGAAGGCGATGTTTGCTCCGTACACCTCCAGCACGCTGCTCTCTGCTCGCTGCTAAGACTCAGAATCAGGCAGAGAGGAAGAGTGCAGAGGAGAGGAAAAATAAGGAGACTGTGTCAGAGGAGAATAAGAGTTTTAAAAAGAGTAGGGGATTTTTCTTTTCTGAGGCGTTGCTGTAGCTGTTGTGTGAGGAGAGAGAGAACGTGAGACAACGGCCAGCATCTCCCAAATGGAGTGGAATGGGTTTAAGATGGTAAGGAAGGCTACGGGCAGCCTGCCACTATACTTGAATGTGCGATGATAACTGCTGGTTAATTTTGAGCATCCTATAGTGAGCTGAGTAGCTTGTAGTTGTAGATATACTGTCCACCCACAGTCAGTCAGAATTATTCTTCTTGCTCAGCGAGCACTGCGATACTGTTGAACTATTGTTGTGCAGAATGTTAAGTTCCTTCTTACGGGGACGAGGGCTACAGTGGGGGGTTACACTGTAGGTTCGTGGGCAGAATGAAAAAATGAGGGAGGCAAATGGAGGGACGGAGACGGATATCGGGCTAATGAGAAACGTGCGGAGGAAGGAAAAGAAGTAAGGAAATAGGGAAGGAAGGGTTAAAAGAGGGGAACAGCACCCATTTTATGTTGAAGTCAGGGCTGTGTAGGTGTCCCCTGTTTTTCCAGCCTTTGCACCACTCTGAAATATTTACCTGTGTATAGTGCTGCAGAGGTGGATCGCACATGGTTGAGGGTTAAATGTCTTTTTACATGGTAAGGAAACTGGACTTTTTTGTGGATTTGCCATTCATTTATGCAAAGTACTGCATGTAAGTTAAATGAGTAGCCATGTTATCTGTCATGCCGCTTGTATAGACAGTCCGAGGGTGTGCTGTCCATGTATTGTGCCAGAGCTGAAGAAAAGATGGGAGTAGGTGTGTGAGTTACGCGCATGACTGGATTACAATAGATTATAATGTCGTGCATTCTTTCCCTCATTCTCAAGTTTTATGCCCCTTACGGCTATGTGTAAGTGCATGCGCGAGCTCACTTGTCAGCACAGGAGTGATGATTACAAGCTGTTAAAGTATTCTGCTTTGCCTGCTCTCGCTGAATTTCACTTTAACATTGCATCCATTTACCCATTCATCCATCACATTCAAGCGACAGAGTGAGAGGTAGACTAATAAAACTAGCAGCCATTTTATTCCCAGTTGTTTTTTTACCTGTCAGAAACAGAAAGACAAAGTTGAGCCTCGTTGCCGATTCATCAATGCTATGACTGCAGAGTCATTATTATTATTTAGCATCTATCTTTTTTCAAAATGGTTCACTTGCCATCATCAAAGTGGACTGACTCACTTGGGCATTTCCACTAGGAACAACAGAAGCATTTGTCAGCAAGTACATTTTTTATTTGCGTTCACTGGCTAGTTTTCCTTCGGAATGTAATCAAAATGCTAATTGAAAGGAAGGCGACTCTTCCTTGGGTGCTGCAGCTACGGGCACTAGCTGGCATGCTGGCAGCCGTAGTGTAGCATGGGTGTAGAGGCCTGTATCACAGATAGAGTGGTGACGTAAGAAGACAAACGTAGGGGTGTGAGAGAAAGCGTGTGCAGCATTAAATTTGTAGATACAGACACAACTTAGTTTGGAAGAGGTGGACGCACAATGTGAATGACAAGGACCAGTGAGAGAGCGGGTGACAAAGTGGAATATTCATTAGTATTGGAGGTATTAGATGAGTGTGCATCCATGAAGCCTCCTGATGCGAACCAGTGGGGGACCTGCTCTAGAGACAGGCCATCATTTTACAAAAATACACACAGATACACACAAATGCGCAGTGGCTCTATTACCCCGAGGCAGAACACCACAAGCTCGAAGGTTACACATCAATGCTAATAGGGCGGGGTGTATGAGGAATTTATTAGCTACAGTGCACTGACCATGTGCTCGGGATTTAAATGTAACTGAAGATCAAAGACCTGAGACACGAACAGATGGGTGTACGAGTATGTAGCATGTAAGGTTTTTGAAGGAACAATAAAAGTGATTTGCAGACACAGAGGAAAAATATGTGGATGATAAGTTCACAAATACAGAACTAGAGCTACACAGACAATAAAGAAATACTGCTTCATCAGTTCAGTGACAGGTTAGCATGCGCTTCTGCACGACTGGTTCTGTGTGTTTGTGTTTGATTGCATGTGTGCATCAGAGGGCCGACTGACACGTGTACAGATGGAGAGTGACATTGTTAAGTAGAGCCTCATTAGAGACCAAGCAAATACATAAAGCGAGAGGTGTGAAGTGGTTCGGACAGAGGAACAGCTGCCTCTTAATCTTCTTTCCAGTTGTCTTTACACAAACATCCGCTCTGACGGATTTAATGTGAATGTTTGCGTTGCATTATTTACTGTTGACCAGACCTTTAACTGTTCCTGGTGTTATCATGATCATAGCGGGGTTTAAACTTAGTCTTACACTATTACCAGATCCACAGATATTTTGCCTTTGTAACTATATTTAATTACAGATATTAATAATATTGATAGCAAAAAAAAAATAAACTTCTTCTTCTTTTTATTTTCAAACTTATATGTTTTCATATTTCAACTCGGTGAAATAATTTGCTTCTATACTGAAAGTTGCCTCTTATTACAAAGCTGACAAACTGAGGCAGAACACTCGGACCTCTGATGTTTGTCACAGAATAACAAAATCCCCCAAAAACAGCCTCCTTTGACTTCCTTTAAACTCCTCTCCTGGGTCAGTGCTGATTTGCTGTTTGCTTTTAAGAGGATTTATCAAAACTAGCAGCTTGTAATTTATACTGAAGATAAAAAATAGACTTTTAGGTTTAAGTGAAAAATTTGTATTGTCCCTGGTTATGCATTGCTTGTCAGCACTAATTTCTCACCAAGTTTTATAAAGTTTACTTTAGACAAGGACAAATGCAAAATAAGCAGAAGGCCTATGGCGGTCTTCTGTTTGTCGTGTTAAGAGAGCACAGTTATGGCTGTGCTGCTGTTACTGTTGTTGATTCAGTTTTTACAGGCAGAGGTTTTTCACATCCACAGTAATTAGATGAAATGTCAAATGGTCACATTGTGTGCGTTGCGTGGTGTTGTTTATATACAGTATGTAGGTGTTACTGTGTCTCATACTGTGTGTGCCGCCTCTCTAGCTGTAGGTGTAAATGACCAGACCCATTCAGGCACATTAAAAAGGATTTATCAAAGCTGAGACATGTAGAGAGAAGTCAGCAAGGATAATGGCAACTTTAGTGCAGCGAGTCCAATAAAAACATCCTATAGAGAGTTTTCTCAGGAGACTTTTAGATCGATGTGATAGTGATGTGTGAACCAGAGAAAAGGAGTTTAACTATGTATGCATCTGTGCAGATTCTGCAGGAATTAATATTCCTGATTAAAATCTGATAGTTAAATATTTTAAGAAGGTGATGACCAAACAGGTCGTACACCTGAAAAGATACAATTACCCTCCCCTACACAAACACAAAAAAATTAAATCAGAATTACCCCAGACAAAATATTTATTATCCCTTGAGACTAACACATCCCATTTATGTATAAATATGTAGCTGGCTGACATTTCAAAAGTAAAGATTTGATTTGCATGTGACATAACAGTACTAAGATGCCAGGATATTTGGGTTTGCGCTTACTTTGAGCCAAGAGCTTGTGCCACTGCTGCAGCGTATTTTGCGTGATGACATTATGCAATCTATCAGCTTTTTGGTGGTACATCGAAAAATATTTTGTTGTCTTTAAATGTCTTTTCCACTTTTCTTTAAACAAAAGCTGGATGGAAGCAGTTAATGAGCCAAAAGCCTGTTTGAATAAGAAGCTGCTGTAACAATCTCTGTCCCAATTAGCACGCTTTGGTTTTTAAATATTTCTTTTGTGCGAAGCCTAAACACACATGAAGACTCACAAAACGGTCACGTTGAAAATTTAATAGGCTTCCACAGTGATTTCCTTCATTTATTTAAAATGTTTTTTTTCCCTCTCCTTT